TATATATAATGTACATTTCACAGGATTCCGTACACAAAGGGTGTCAACGGAACCCTATTACAAATCCTCCACTGTCCGTCCTCCGTCTAACAGAGGACTGTATCTCATGAACCATAATAGGTAGAGTTGAAATTTTTCGGAGTATGTATTTCTATTGCTGCCATAACAACAACTAATAAAAAACTAGATGGCGAATTTCAAAAAGGCTGCCATGCAAATTAAAAAAATCGATAATGGTACGGAACCCTACGTTTGCGAGTCCGACTCGCACTTGGCCGATTTTTGTTTTATAACTTTCTTTTAGTAAATTACATATTTCAGTACAAGCAAGAGAAACGATTTCTAATAAAATCAACCGGATGTGAAGGTCAATGACCGTAAGTCCCGCACTTCCGGTCGATAAATACGACGCGTAGAACTTTATTCAAAAAACGTCGATAAAACATATCGCTAATTCAATATTTCCAAACAAAATATTCCATAATAGCAAACAAAAATAGAAAATATCGAATTAGCGATTTCTATAATATATAAATAGGAAAGTAAAGGCGTCCCATGACAGTATACAAACCTTATCGACGATTACCTCGCATTATTTGGTGTTAAAACCTCAAACTGGCAGTACATAACAACTTTTTACAATCTCTATGGTAAAGAGAAAACTAATTTATAACGATTACAATTGCGTACAAATTAAGTTCGTTATATTTTAAATATTAAAAAATAACCTCATAAAAATTTGCTATCAAATACGTATATGCTACAATATAAAAATCGTCTCAAGCAACATTACTAGTATCATTATAAAAATAGGGTCATAAATAGATACAACAACAAAAATATCAACAATCATAAAAACAAACAAAACAACAATTTAAAACACAACAATAAAATAAGTTATATTTAATAATTAAATCCAATTATCGATTAAAAGTTATAACCTAAATAAAAAAAAAGATCATATTGAAAGAAAATAAATACAAACCTTTATAACCCTATTAAAACAATTACACAATAAACATTAAAACAATCAACTAGCATTTCATAAAGAAAACTAAACAATATTATAACGCGATGAAAACCTTTATAAATACATAATATCTAAGTGATATGCAATATTATACGTAGGCAGGCTTTCAATTTAAACGAACATAACAACAGTTGATATTTTGTTAAACAACAAAAATTGAGAAATAAACTAAAAACATTACAAATAAAACAACAGAATTCTAAAGCTTAAAACGTAATGTAAATGAGTCCTTAAAATCATTAAAATTAAGTTATAAAATCGTATAACTAACAAAATATCAACCGGATGTAAGCAAACTACAGCAAAAACAATACTAAGACGCCTAAAACAATTTGACCTACAGTCTAAAAATATAATACTCGTTAGCATCAAATTAACATACTTGCTTTTATCACAATTGTAAAGTAACACGCCTTTGGCGCAAACAATCAAAATACTCATATTTTGACGAATACTTATGTTTACATAAGAATTTAATCAAATGTTTTTTAGCAATATATTTTTAAATTCCTATATTAAATTAACATAATAAACAATCGAGAATCAAACAAATATAGTTGAAAAGTCCGTAAGCTTAATAGAAAGACTTATTAAAGCTCTATATGACAACTAATATACCAATATTTCGCAGTTTATCGAAAATTTAATAACCCATTGCCAACAAAACTTCAGAATTAATATTTTAAATTATAAAACCTTATGTAAACATACGAACCCTTAAAAGCCCACCCGAAAATAAAACACCACTCATAGTCTCACTAACATCGTTCCATATCGTTTTACTCACATTTCATTATACTAACTGTACTTTCTAAATACGATTTTATAATGTGAACAAGCTTCTTATTTATATAATAATAAAAAGTATTATAGTTAAACTTTTAAATTTTAATTCTATGTATAGATTTCAAGATTTCTTTTATTTCATTTAAATATGTAGTAATTTATCTAACTATTTAGTACTACTTCTAGTGCACTATATCTTAGCTGTGGTCAATTACTAACGCGTACCATAAATATGTGCTCCGGTCATTTTTTCAAATTATCAATCTGGTTTTATTATAAAATGCTAAAACGCTACCAATACCGGTCTAGTTAGTTAATCTTTTATATCATCTGTAAACCTTTCTAAAATAGTTTTTATGGCACTAAGAAAATAATAACTATCTATCGCTAAATTTTATAATAAGTTTGAATTGTCTAAATGAACTCGCACTACGCTCTGGAGCAAGCCGATTCAACTAAGTAGCATTTACGCAACTAATGACTTTCTTTTGCTGCGTAATCATCTGTTGTTTCGTTAATTTTTTATTAAACCGGAACACATTTTACGGTTGCACTAAAAAGCGTTCTATACTTCAACTGTTTGTGACGATCGTGTGGATAATAAAATACTCTTTTTCTATAAATCAGAGTAATTTTTACCACAAAAATATTATTGCTTTCAGAGGTTCTGCGTTACCATTAAAAATATTCCTCACCATTATTATTATTATTATTATATACTTTTCGGCCATCCTCATATATTTATATCATCGGCGTTCCGAAAGCAATCGTGCACGTTATCAAAAAATATATACATGACCACTAGCTAAACGAACTATCCATTCGAAAACGAAACACGAGAAAATTTTTATTGGAAAATTAATACATCAAAACTTTTTGGCGCAATACATTTCGAAATACTGGTTTCGTACCCGCCATCACTACATATACATATATAAATATAACATCTTAAAGTTAGCAATCCAAAAATATAAAATGTACATGTTGCATTCGTGCGCCCTCGGGTGCCCCGTGCCTGCAAGCGAATCGCGTCACTATAGTCAAAGTCATATGTCTTCGCTTGTAATGCGACTTTTGCCTTATGCCATCAGAGGGTGCAAAAGCCGCCACAACTGGACGGTTATTCTCGAACTGCGTCGCGTTACATTCAACGTTTTCATCTAACAACTGCTGGTATATTATTAACATTCGCAAATACCGCCAAGATTTAAAAACTGTCCAATCAATTAAGCGTCACATCGATTCGCAATCAAAAACCGTTGATATTGTTAATAATATACAAACATCCATATCTATATGACAACTCCGGGCCTTTCAAATCCTTTCGAAATAAAAGTATTGTAAAGGATGCAAGACTAAAAGATGAGAAAATAAATATTATAAAATATTAGAATCATCAGAAAGAAAAGAAGGTAAATTATGCCAATAGATCGTTGAAGAGAAATTCGACAAATATATAGAAACAATAGATGTGGTGTACAAAGTAAGTAAGGAATCTGTTCCGCGGCCCTGCACAAGCAAAGCAATCATAGTCATTCGTAACTTTTGCTTTATAAAAATACGAATCGAAAATATCTCGACGGCAGCACGTCGTCTTATGGTTAAGCTATGATTACTTCTAACCTCTTAATCTATTATCTATATATCTACGATAAAATATCAGAGAATTCAGAAAAAGGGAATATTTAGGTAGTTATTTCTATATTAAGTGGTGCACAACCTTATTTTTTCATGAACGCTAGATTAGTATGGCATTTAGCTTTATCGAGGATCTAAAACAAAAGTCATCTATCTAATAAACTAATTTTAAATTGTTGTATCGATAATTTATTAAATATCATAATTATAATAGTCATTGAAGTAGGAACTAGGGGTGGGGAAATAGAAATATTGAAACTATAGTGTAATCTTTAAATGAAGTCAACAATGGTAAAGAAGGAACTAATTTTTTGAAGAAAACGAATCAATCATTAGTAAGATTTTGATTTAAGTCTAGACTCAAGTGGAATGTTCCGGAACAATCTCATCTGTTAATCGCGCAACTGTTTTGGCGCAGACTAGAAGAGAATTAACCTATTTAGGCTGGAATGAAACCTATATGGTAAACTTTAGACCAATAGTAAAACTAAGTACTTTTTTTCTTAAATACGATAAAATTTCAAAATACTCACAGCTCGTCGGGTTTATTGTATTATACGCTAGGTGCATCTACTTTATAAGAACAGTGGCTTTTTAATAATTTGAATTTGTACTTAACCTACTTACTTTTAACTCCACCGTGAAAATCATGAATAGAGCTAAGAAATCCAAGATTTGACTCGATCTCGAAATCTTGCATTGAAAGCGGGTAAACGTAACACAATCGATATTTTTCTCAATATTATCGTTAATGCACAAAACTGTGTATAAATCTCAAGTAGTGCCGTCGATGAGTTTTTTTAGTTTTTTCATTAATGTTGCCAATATTACGGATGATCTAAGAAAATTACATTACATTCAATTTAGAGTTTTCAAAAATATGATTCCAATAAACGCCCTAAACAAATTTCTCAAAAATACGTTATGAAAATATAATACAAATACGATAAAATTTATACTAAATATAACCCTGTCTATGACCTGAAGAGTTAAACGAAAATACCAAATAAAGATCAAAAGTCGAACAAGACTTTAAGAAAACAAATAGAAACGAGGTACAAACGTACAATAAACGTGTGAGGACAGAATATTGAAAAAAATGAAGATAGTCGAACGGTTTAAACACCCTAAGAAGAATACAATGAGAATATTGTTGTTAACTAAAATTTTAAAATTCTTAATTTCAAGGCCTGAGTTACGTCACAACTCCAAAAACCTGTTTGAGGAAGATAAGTTATAGGTGATGCTAAATGACTTAATGAAGGCAGTAATATGTTATTATATGAATATGATAACCGATGATGAGATTTTACAACAAAAAGCAAACATGTCGTAAGCCCTTCAACCAAATCATATCCTGACTCAGATCTCAGATCCAGACTGGCAGTTATTGTATAGTCCATTAATAAAAATATTAGTATGTATCGATTAAAAATGTTGATATTGATGCATGCGACAGATCTAAATTTTCATTTGAAGATGTGAAATAATATGAAAATAGGATTTTAGAAAGCGTTTAAGATGTAGGGTTCTATGGGTCAGGTCACATTTTAAACAGAAGCTCGATAAGGAGATCATCATCTGCGTCCATGGGTGATTCCGGCGCTAAGTAGTCAATGATCCTGTAACAAAACATATTTGATAGCATTGTATACACTTGTACATATAAATTATTATCTATAAGGAAAATAGAAGATAGAAGAACCATCAGAATGAGAGGTTTTTTCACTAATTCTGACTTAATTTTTTTAATAAGATCAAACTCAATCAAACATTATTAACAAAATCTTAAAAGTAATAATTATTCAACCCTTAGAATTAGTTGATTTTCCTTGAAAATTGTAGACAGATAAAAAAAAATGTTAATAATATTAGAATGTTATAAAATTTACAGTAAACATAAATGGATATTGCTATTAAATGTTAAGGTAAAAAATTAAATAAAACTATAATTATTTCCATTTGATGTAAAACGAGAGAGATATGTACATAAAAAACGTTAAAAAATTGCGTCAATTTAAGAAAGTTTTATGTAAATTAGTACCGATTAGGCATGGGTATACTGGTGGTGGGCCGCGGAGAGCTTTGGCGGACATCCGGGCAGAGCCGGGCCACCTTCGCGTTTTCGGCTCGCGCGCTCTGCAACCTGTTGCAAAATCAATTAATTTCAATGCTAAAACATAGTATCTAATATCATAACATATTTTTTTAATTAAACTAACTTATTTTTAAGTGTGATTTTAACTTTTTTCACTTAATTTATAGCGCAATTGATTCATTCGCACGAAAAAAAAACATAGTAACCAATCTCCTTCGTGTCTTCTCCATTCTAAGTGACATTGGCAAATCAATCTATGCTCAACTGACATGCTTTGAAGTCATTAACAAGAGAATTGAATTGAAAAAAAAATTAAAGTTAAAAAAAACAAGTCATATCCAAGTGGAATCGTGGCAAGAATACTAGCAGCATCCTCTCGCTGAATAACAATATCTTTTGTCTTAAATTTATTAACAACTTCATTCTTACATTAATATCTTTCATGGCGACGTATGGTAAATATTAGTTCAGAGTTCGAAATGCCTTTCCCTTTAACAAGTACGTGTGTCACATCTCATGGGACGTGACGCCCTCTTTTGTTTGCAAGGTTGAAGGAATTACCATTGTCACGTCCTTGTCTTATATTGGAAATGTAGGAAAAAGAACCCCTTGAAAATATAATTCACAGCGTGTTCTCGTAGTTTCTGTTGTCTGTTGATTTTTCTTAGTATTCTGGTAATAGCAACTATTCTGATAGTTTCATTTATATAGACAAATATTTATTTGTTTGTTTGTATATAGTGTAAAAAATCTATAGAATTGTCGTATCAAGTATAAATACTATTTTGTGTAAGGATCATTTTCATTATCATCAATTTATAAGAATACACATATATAATTGTTATAATCAACACATAATAATAAATTAAATAACTTGCTTTAAGAGGCCACATGATCTTTGGAAATATATAAGATCTGTATTTTAAATAAATAAATATCAAGCACTATGTCTTTTAAAAACTTACGTTTGTCGTAAATTCCTCCCAAGTACTAGTAGCATGAAATGATTTAAAAAATGTCTGTTAAAAAACACGACCTACTGCAAACATCATACTTAGTTATACAAAACTTTTTAAAATTAAATAATTAAAAAAAATTTTTTTTCTAATACAAGCTATTAAAATAATGTTAAATAAAATTCATATAGAGTAAGATATTCAATATAACATATCCGTAATAAAAGATATTACATTTGAGATTAATATTAAAAAAGATATGAAATACCATTTCGAGATATATGTCATTGTACATATAAATTGTCAATAAAGTTCACTGCACATAAACCCATGGAAGCTTCCAAAGATCATATTACGAAGCAAAAGTAATAAACGCATATTTCATATCATATTCTTTATCCCGCCCTATTCAGGAGGGCTTTGTGTTATAACGAAGTTTAGATATTAGTTTCTGGTAAACAGTTCAGAGCAGTCCAACGATTTAATATGGATAAATATATACATATATGTATCTTACAATAATATATTATATTAACCATACAATGATAATTATTTATTATATATGTATGTTTATTTAAAAAAAATACAGATTTTTTTAACCGACTTTAAATAAGGGGTTAAGGGTTCTATGTTATAGGTAAATACTTTTTTTTGATTGAAATATTCAAGGGGAATTTTGTTAAAATTTCGAAATGTCGAAGATATTGCGTAAGTCGTAACATAATAAAAAATCATAGGCATACGCTTTAATTGAATACACTCGGCTTTTCAAAGTTGGTGAAATAATTGGTTTAATTCAAAATATACGCAAATTTTATTTTCTAGGTCAATTCTAAGAAAAATCGATTTTTTGTAATTTTTTCGCATTTATTGCAAAAAATATAGATTTTAAAGAAAAAAGTTTTTTACATAAGTTGTAGGCCACAAAAAAATTGACATATTTTTTGGTCAAAACGTTTTTCGTGTAGAGCTAGTAGTAGCGAAAATTCTCTTTCAATAATCGATTACATGGCTTTCGATTATATCAGCAAGGATATCATTGCTGTCTCACTTATACAATAATGTGAGTTCACAAATTTACATATTGTTAGTTTTGATTGTTCATTAGCTGTTTTTTTTTATTCTTGTACTGTTAAGACCACCTACTTTCTAAGTATGTCCATATTTATTTATTTTTGTTTGAAAGAGCTCTGGAACTGCTAGTTGGATTTGTAAATGTTTTTGTATTTTATATTATATTTATGAAGGTTTTAGCCTATGCAATGTAACATCACGCTATGAACCCTTCTTATGGCATGAGTAATTATACAAAGTTAACTACAGACGGAATCATAGTCAAATGCTAGTTATATTATATAACTTATTTTAGAAATAATTGAGTTTGTGCTGTTTATAAAATAATATTTTAGTTTGTGCAAAATATTTACTAAAGTGGGTCAAAGCAGTTAAAGCGTTGTTATTCTAGAGTGATTATTACGGCGACTACTGCTGTAAAGATTGTAAATAAAATAATGATAGTATAATTAATATTAGTTACTTAACACCTTCAGTTCTGATATCTTTTTATTTTCTGTTAAATAAGTAAATCATACAGCTATATATACATATAAAAATCAATTGCCGTTCGTTAGTCTCGCTGAAATTCAAAAACGGCTGGACCGATTTAAATAATTCTTTTTTTGTGTTGTTGGGAGTGTGTCAGGGGTGGTTTAAGTAAAAAAATTTTAGGGAAAAACAAAAAAAAACAGCTGGAAAATCGAAAAGTTCAAAACTGTTTATTTTGTACCTTGTATATGTAGTCTATCTATTCCATACTAACTGTTAAAACGTACCTAGGGATAAAGCGAGGGTGTGTCGCTAGTTTTATACACTAATAGATCGCCTTCATACCACATGAATAAATATCCCTACAGACAAAGCTTCATACAACCAAGCAATACAAGGTACATTAGTATATAAGACGAGTGTGTGTGTATTTTCATTTGAGCGTTACAATAGACATAAAGAATGGACTGAGCAATACCTACTCTCAATAAATTGGCCAGTCTCTAGAAAGAGAGAAAGCGAACGTGAGGCCAATAACTGTATTTTTATATATAAATATAAAGTACGTGATAAAGGAATATAAAAATAATAATAATGCCAATCACTTTTCAATAGAAAAATAATATTACAAATATAATATTGCAAATAGCGTACACTCAATGGACCGCACGATCGCTTCGTCTCCCTTACACTTTTCTGTCCGCATTCACTTTACAGCTAGATAGGGAACGCTCAGTCCATTCTCTATGTGTATGAGCGTAACGCGCTCAGTCTTACATTGAACTCGTGATGTGCTGACACGCACATATTGACAATCTTTACGTGGTTACATGAAGCTTTACCTCTGTAGAGATACTTACCATGTCGTCATACTGTGCCTGTCGGCTATGTACTGCCGCAGCCTCAAAGGCCCATGGTCGCGAGTTCGATTTATTATTGAATGAATATTATTAATATTCACGACATTTGTCTATGGTCTACATAAAATATGGTTTCGAATGCCATCACTTGACATAGTCTTGATGGTATTAAAAGTGAAAAAAGTGACTTTTTTAATATTTTTTCAATATTATCTATCGTTTTTGATAAAGTGGAAATATATAATTAATACCAAATTTGTCATAGTTTAACTTTATCCATGTACGAGTATATGCAACTTTCAATGTATAGATGTATATTATCGAGCCTTTTAAGTTCAGTTGAGCTAGAAAATTTATGATCGTTAACAGAAAATATTTCTTAATTTTACAAGAACACATAAACAAATGGATGCCTAATATTTCAAAAACTTAAGAATTGGGACTAGAATTGAAAAAAAATCATACAATTAACAAAAAAATAAATAAAAATATTTTATTAGTAGAGAGTTCAAAGGTTTTAATTAAAACTTACTTGATCTTTGACTGTCGCATAAATTGTTGAATTTTTCTCGCTGCCTGATTTTGACGTCTTTGGGAATATGTTCTCCTGTGTAATGTTAATAATATATAATAAATTAATAATATTTTTAGTTTTTTTTTTTTGGGTTAGTTATTTAAAATAAGCTTCATACACGTTACGTCAAATTACTATAGCTCTTACTAATGTATTCATCTCTTTCTCATAAAATCTCTTTCTCACAATACGTGACACTGATAGAATGATTTGGGTTTATTAACAAAACTCCAAGCCATTAAAGAAAAGAAAATAAAAACCATTGATAAATAGAGAATTAACGTCTCTAATTATTGGTAAAACGCAAACACAGCCTACTTAATACTATCTTTTCGAATTCTTCAAAGATTTTTCTTCTAGTAATCAAAAATAGTGAAAATGAATTTGCGAAAAATCCGAAAAGATAGTTTTATGGCCGTTGCAGCATTGTTATTGTTACTCAACTATTATATATTAGATATATCTAAATAAAATTCTTGCATATATTAATTATGTTCACGTTTTTTAAAATCTCGATCCTGTCAAAAAGTATCTGACAAAATGGCTATCAAAGTTTACATAGTTTTTAATTACGAATAAAAAATATAAAAAATAATTCATTAAGTTTTTTATTTAAACTGTTAATTAATACTCAAATATATCTAAGAAAATATTATATACCAGTTATCATCATACCAAATTTCATCAAAATCCGTCCAGTGATTTCTTGTGATGCGAACCCAGACGGACAGACAGACAAAAATTCTAAAAACTATAGATTCAGCCCCTGTATCGATAATAATGTCTATTTCAATAAGATTTTCCAAAAAATATTTATTATATAGATTCGGCTCGGTTAGAACTGTTATTATTTGATAGCCTACTTGACAGGTGTGGCGGTGAGACGCCGCTCGCGTAGAGAACGGTAGCCGCGCTGTATGACGGTCGCCGCCGCATGCATCTGCTTTAAGTACGCGAACTGGAAAAAATTAAACACTAAAAACACCACTTTTACGATATCAAATAAAGAATAACTTATAACAATATAAAAGCTTTGAGCATAGGATTTGACGTGTCAAAATATTATTATAAGTGAGTGAATATTAATTGTGAGTGTGCTTGCTCTTCCTGCTGTAACGTCTTAATATATTTTTGGAACAGAGATAATAATTGTACCGGATAATTATATATCGTCGTACTTTTGATAAAAAGTGTCTATTATGAACAATCACTAAGGCTAGATTATATTATATTATTGATCGCTTTCATGTTTTATTTTCTCGATGCTCTAAGCATCTGCTTGTAAACATAATCATCTTCGGAAGAGATACGAAGTATAATTGAGAATCAAACGAACTTACCTTGTGATGTATGATTTCTAATTATACGAGTGTCTTGACCGAAGATGATTACAGTCCCACCCTGCCCACAAATATTTAAACCCCGGATCAATCGAAAAAATAAGGTCTGAATAATGATAGTTGAACCAAGATGACGTGGTGGGATGCGCTAAAGAGATTATTTAAAAAAGGAATCCTTTAAACTATTTCTTTTAAGAGTAAAAGCTTAAAAAAAAGTATATATAGCTTTAAAAGTGTGATTAGGACAGCATCAATCTGGCGTACTGCTGCGTAATTCCTTCATATTACTGTTCCCTGACCGATTTCAGCTATGGTAGCCAATCTCACTGAGACAGCTCAACTACGCAGGAACTATACCTATCACTCGCTCTTCGAAGCATGGAAGTGTAACATGAACAATTTCACATTTTCGCGATATTACTGATAATTCTTTGACATATTATTCTAGTTACAATTCCCAACCTGGGAATCGAACCCGGGACCTCCAGATCTACAGCCGTATATACTAGCCACTAGACTAACGAGGCAGTTCAAGACCTTTAACAGAAATATTATAGGTGAAGACGTAGTAAATAGCTAGTGAATAACAATAAGCAAAAGCCACACCTGTTTGTAACGACGATAGCAGTTCTGTATAGTAATGGCGGCGGCGGCGGCGCGACGCTGCAGTTGTCGGCCGCGATACTGACGATACGCCTTCTGGATAGTTATCGCCGCGGAGTAGAGCTCGCGTTGCTCACGATCTGTTATGAGAATAATTGTTTTAAAATGAACCCATTTCCAAAGGAGAGAAATTAAAGTATTCAATTTTAAGAGTGGAATAATTAGTTTCATAATAATATTGACGGCCGAGTACCTTTCTAGTTAAAAAAGTTATTATAAAATTGTTAGTGATATTTTATAGGAATATAAGTGTTGTTTACTTGTAATATAAGCCTAAAATCATAACTTTAAATATTAGAAGTAAGTGATTTCATGTTATTCATGAACTAAGTAAATAATAAGCTCTTATATTTTTTTCTTTTCTATCATTTCTACTATTAACAGCATTAATCAAAATGTAAAAAGAATAGATCAAACCTCTTTTCAAATATTAAATATAAGGCTAATAATGATCTAAAAATAATAAAATAAATAGTAGGTACGATTAAGTGATATCAATAGCAAAAATATATTATTTAATTTTAAGTGCTACATGATACTTTTCAGAACAAAACAAAAACTTTTCAACTGGTGCTATCCTCAACATCTTTCTTACCATTAAGCGTAAGACTAGAGAAATGCGTAGTCGTATTCAAAAACTCCTGTAGAGTTGCCGACGACGTTGGTAGTGATGTCCTCGGAGAAGCCGGTGGCGGGGATAGCGCTGATCCCGGAGACACAGACCCGGAAGAACAAGGCGTAGAACCCCCACAATACCTAAGTAACAAAACGAAATCAGGGCTTCAACGTCCGTCATTCTACAGTTGTGATAGCTAATAGTGAATAAAAAAAATAAAATGACGTATCCAAACGTTATGCCACGTAGTAAAAATATGTCATTCCCATTTATTTTTTTCTACAAGCAATATCGATAGTAGGTAATTTGTCTAAGGTGTCAGATAAGGGTTTACAAGGTTCGTTTAGTAGATTGAGAGATTTTTAACAGCCAACTTTGTTCAAGGATTAAGATTATTAATTAAGCAAATACTATGTAAATAGTAGCATGAGTGAAAAATAGTTTAATCATTATACTTTGATCAATTGTAACTGTAATTAAGATAACTTAGTTATTTTTAGTAAATATCTCGGTTATATGAAACGGATAAAGAACTATATATACTATATTATGATTGAACATAAACATTCTAAAATTATTTATTAATATAGTATAAGCTAGCTACCTGTAAGTATTATCGCAGAATTCAAAGCTGAATTCACTACTGAATGTGGTGGTGTCATCGAGTAGTGGGACTATGAGTGCATCTTCTCCGGTACCGCTGTCCAAGTCGCAGCCACTTAGCAACGATGAAGTTTCGTTCTGTTTACAATTGTAATTGATTTTTGTAATTGTTAAATGTGTTATTAAATTATTTTATAACTCTGGGTACAAATGAAGTTTTTGGTATTGTGGATGTTTACTTCAGTATATAAGAACCATAAATATGATATCTATCAACCTTTCTTTAAATCTTTTTCTTGTCCTCGGTCTACTTCTAATTCATACCTAAAGGCTAATACTCTCTTATGTATATTTACTTTCTTTGCTCCTTATGATATGCCCATACATCCTAACCTATTACTCCTTCTTCTTCTTCTTCTCTGCCACTATCTCTGCCACATGTCCTTTCATCTGCCCAAAAGCCCAAAATTCTGTTCCATAAATTACGGTATATTCAAATATAATAAATAATTACCTTTATTCTTTCTGGCATCGCAGCTATAATTTGCTCGGCCAGCGTGAACACCCGGTCATCCTGCTCCCCTGAAATGATTCGGTATAGTGGAATCTCGAAAGAAACATTAAAAAAATTAGTTATCTCATATTCCCCTTTTAATTTGCTCATGAATATTTCCCCAATTTAATACTGATCATTTCAAAAAATCTAGCAAGAGAATTTCTACAGAACATCACTTAGTGTTTACATACATACTTAATTAAAACATCAACAAAACACCGATAGATAAATAACAAATTATAGAACAGAGTGCCTTATTACGAAACCTTGGTGAAAGCATACTTACCAATCTATTTATAGCGTATGTTTAATTAACTACACATAAAAAGCTATTACATAAATATCGATTCATGCAAGCGATTGAGCCTCATGCAGTGTTAAATTGTCTGGTGATAGAGAAATTTAGTTTTTATATATCTTCTGTATTTGGCGTTGAGTGTACAACTGTTATTGTAGATAGGACCACTTAAAACTGTTGTGTCTGAAAGTACAGTGATTGTGGGTAGACCAATACGAACCATTGAAAGCGACACCGATGGACAACATCGAAAAGTTACACCGAATGACTTATATAATTCTTATTTATATGTTATTGTCATTATTACTTTTGTTTAATAACCTAACTTAACTTTATCTTGCAAGTATTAAATGAAACGTCCTGATCATTCGGTTCAACTTTAAAAGGTAGCTACAACACCGGGACATCTCCGCTCGAAAGGGTAGATATAGAAGAATCTACAAGTGGTCTACCGATAGCGATGACCGAGCTACACTGCGACAGAAAGACAGTCGACGTTGGAAGAAAGGCCGGAGCGGCCATGCAACTAAAACATTTACAACATCGATAAACAACTCGAGCGGAGGTTTGGCGACTTGAAATGGTATAGAACAGTTCAACTGATCTCGCATTAACAGCCAATTTCTTTTCATGAAAACGTCTTCATTTACTACTGTTTTCATAATTTCTATTAGTGTTGTAAGTTTTAAGCTTATTGGTTACTGATAATAATCATGATGTACTTATGATGTAAAACTGGATATATAATAAATTTTTCTCTTACTTTTATGAGTGTCTGATATTTCGACGCTGTTACAAATACCGTGGTCACGAGTATACGCATATCGCTCGCAACAGTGCTGAAATATTGGGAACTCATGAAAGCACCTGAAGCATTCTTAGTATCCCGTTTTGCATCACAAATTCTTTATTATAGCTGCGATACCAATCATTTCTGCCATTATTAAAACATTAGATATTATGACCATCGTTTTACACAAATCATCATTTGCGTTTCGTATATGGCAGATTTTATATATCACCGGTTGAAATATTTCATTTAACCTATAATTTTCCAGATTTACATACAATTTAAAATTTACTAACACCAAATCAATCAGCCATCTCAAACAAATTTTGATAGACACAGTCTATACCGTTTCGCGCGCTACTGACCTGTTGTTTGCGGGTCCGGCATCGCCTCGTCTCCCGAGGGACTGCGCCTCGCCGTCTCGCCTGGACGGACGGACAAGTCAGCTCTGACAACGATCGACACGCGAATGCTTCGCGATAAATACTTCACACCGATATACACCGACTACTTTAATTTGGCTTAGTTTATAAAGCTACTAGTTTTTTTTTAATATTACGTGTTTATACAATTTTGCTTTTAACTATGTTGGTATTGCTTTGCATTTTGTTTCTAGTAGATAGTGCAGATATAACTTTATTTCTCATGTTAGATTCAAAATGTATATATATAGGACAAAATTCTTCATAATCCTCAGTAATTATGTCAGGGTTTTATTTTTATTTTAGCGAGTAATATTAAAAAGTGCTCAAATCATCTTTATCTTATTGTTGTCAGTATTTATTAGGTTCCATCGGACATAATTTACTTTAAGAGATATTATAGATACTTTAGAAATAACAATATATTTTATAGTGGGTACATCATCAGTAAATCTATTTCAAACTGTTTATTCACACGATCATAGCCTGATCTACGTAACTATTCAGTAGGTCTTTCCACTATGAATAAAACATAGTTAATTTATTAAAAATTTATATAACTTTTTTAATAAAACTTTTGCTAGCACACACTAGTAAGTCTAATAAAATTTCAATATATCTTTTGAACTAAAAAAACAAATAAGAGGATTAGAAGGAAATTAACATGAACGCGTTTGAAACTAAAATCGAGATCAAAATTGATCTTTTAAAAATTAGGCGCCGTGCCGATGAAAATAAATAATCATTTGCAAATGAAAATTGAACTTTCTATGGATATGGTTAAAAAAAAAAAGATTTGAACTTACAGAGAGCTAGGTCCATGCGTCGTCCAATTTTATTATCTCCAAGGCTATCTTCAGAATTGTCAGAATCTAGCGGAAGCGACATGCTTCGTTCCCATCTGAAAATGAAATATAATATTGTTTTTTTAATATAAAGTAACGTAGCCCACGGATTTTCTCGCGTTACTTATTTATGTACAATTATAAATAGAATTATTAAAATTAAACTGGTAATTCCAGAGACGAGCACGTCCAAACAAACCAACAACCTACCTTCATTTTTATATATTAGTAAGTATCGATGTCTTACAGTAAATAATGTTATATTTAGAATATACGTCTATTGGAGTTGATTTTTAATTAGTGAACCATTTAAATAATATAAAGGTAACTAATGTACACTTCGATCAACAGTAGTATTGTTGATCGAAGAATGTACAGATTAAATCTTTGGTAATTTTATTTTATAGGTTTAGTCCATATTTACGATATTTACCTAGCAGATGAGCTCCCATCACATTTATCTATAGCAGAGCTGGACCTGAAGGCGTCGGCCATGTTGATACCGCTGTCGATAGACGGTCTCTTTACGAGGTTGCTTTCCAAACTGCCTGCACGACTTTTTTGAGATAAACTGTAATTATAAATATATTTTTTTACTATATGTATGTTACTAAATGAAATATATATATTTATATACGTATAGAGATTGCCAATTAAGATTACCAAATCTTACCAAGTCTGATTTACCATGATGCAATATATTGTGATATACCTAGGGAGTATCAACTTTAAATATTTTAATATTATAATTTGTTTTAGCAGACCAAAATTTGAAAAAACAAAATGACTGCAACGTTAAATCATAGGAAATTTTAATCACTTACATATATCTGATCATCCTGAATTAGATACAAAGTGAAAACTTATCTTATTTTTGAGTCAAAGTTTTCTATTATACCTTCGATTATATGTAGATCTGATTATTGTCTCGTTGGTCTAGTAGCAAGTTGGGTAACTACGCAGGAGGTGTAATAGTGCATATGTGAACGAAATATCGTCAACTTTCCAATTTCCGGCGGTTATTTAGAATATCTTGACAAACAACCAAATATCTATAGTTGGTCTAATCGGGGACTCGAACCCAGGATTTCCGGATCTGCAGCTGTACATTCTAGCTACTAGAGCACCTTGGCAGTTAAATATTGCATATTTACCTGTGAGGACGTCTAAACACAGCATCCCCAGTGGGAGGATGGATACGGTCGAGCAAGCTGGCAAGGCGCGAGTGCCCCGCGCGTCGCGCCGCCGCCGCCGCCGCGCGCGCCCCCGCCTCGCGCCGCGTGCCTGCGCTCCATCGCGCTAGCACTATCGCTGTCTCTGTGTGGCCTAGCGCACTTGCTACCATCTGGCGATAAAGGAGAATTACGCTTTACTATAAATGTGGACACGTTTGGCTCAGTTTGTAGTAACCCTATTTGCTGTGCCAGCGGTCGTGGGTTTGAGTCCCGCTGGGAGCACGAATGTTTGTACTCTAGGCATGAGTGTTTATATTTATAATATGTATGCATTTAGAGTTATATATGTGTAGTGTATCAACTATCTGGTATCCATAACGCAGGTCTTGTGGCTTACTTGTGTGTGTTAATGTCCCAACATATTTTTACTTCATATCATTCATATTCTATCTGTGTACTAAATTTAATCCAAATCCGTCAAGTCGTTTCAGCGTAAAAGAGCGACAAACATACAAACACAAACAAGCTCACGCATTTAGAATTGTAGTCCGATTAAAGCACCCACTGCGCTGAGTTTATATTTGTTTGGGCTAATCTCATATGTACGATTTTTCATACGGTTTTCATCGATAACAAGAGGGATTATGTAGAATAGTCTATAACTTTTGCGGAAACTTTGACATTTTGCCAAAATAATCTAAAATCAATACAATGATGTTTGTGAATTAACTCGGAAAAATCAAGTCTTCCAATGGCGTATTTGAACGAAGTAAGGTCATGCGCAAATACAAAAGTTTTGTGAACGATGGTATAGGTTAATTTTTCGACTCAAAAAATTAGAATGAAATTCGGAAGCTTAGATTCTGGATTATATAGGCTGTTTTATCGAAATGTTCCTAAGATCATTAGTAAGTGGAAGTAAGCAGCAAGAAGGAAGCAGTGGTCAACAATAAAATATGAACGCCTAAATTAATTTTAATCTCATTCAAGTCGTTATAATATTTAATGGAAATATATAGAAGATGGAAAAATAGCTTGTAGTTCGTATTTTTAATATTATAAATGTGAAAGTTTGTGAGTATGTATAGATGTTTGTTACCCTCTAACGCCAGAATGGCAGAACGGATCTGCACGAAATACCACATAGGCTACTTTTTATCCCGGAAAAAGTACGGTTAACGTGGGATACGTTTGTTTTTGTGTTCCTAGAGGTGAGCCCAAGCGAGACGCAGTGGTAGCCCATCATTTCCAACATGATTACCACTTGTCTTAATAGTAAAGGAAAACATCGTGAGGAAACCTGCATGACTAAGAAAACCTAGCAAGTTTTCAAAAGACGTGTGAAGTCCGCCAACTCGCACTTGACCAGCGTGGTGGACTATGTCCGGATTCTCCTCGTACTGAATGGAGGCCCGTGCCCAGCAATGGGACGTTAAAAAGGGCTGAATATGAACCCGAGCGAAGCGAGGGTGAGTCGCTAGTATCTAATAAAAATCAATTAGAAACTAGAACATTCTAAACTTAACACCATAACATACTCACCAATGGCGTACAATTATCACAATCTCTAGCTCCCAAGTTCACTTCTTTCTCCAATGCTAAGCTATTATCATCTTGCCTCCAACGAAGCAAAGCGGTGGTTAGTTTCGTGTAACCCAAAGCCGCTGCCAAATGCAGTATAGTGGAACTGTCTTCACCAGGCTCAGTGGTAAACCCTTCGGAATTACCAAAGGAACGGCTACTTAGCACTTGACAGAATGTCACTAGGCGATCTTCAAATTTTGGATTGGAATACAGCTGGACGTCCTCTATCTGTAATTGAAATATTTTTTATTACTATGATTCATAATTGTTTTTTTTATTGATAAAATATAATAATGAAAATTATTTGTATCTGGGCATATAACTTAAAAATAAGTGACAAATAATAGACATGGTTACTGTTAAGAATTTGGCTCTATACATTATCATGTTCCTAGCAAAAACAAATTCTGCTTAAAATAAACTATGACATACATAATTTTTATTTCTTTATTTGTAAATATTATAGATAGGTAGCTTAGACTTAGCTTAGTTAAGGAAGTTAATACTGATATATTTAGAGCATATTTTTTCTATGTATTTTGAATTAATATTAGCCAAATAGATTATAGAAAACTATCATGGCCGAAGATTGTAAAATATTTTTTAATAAGAGAATATATTAAATATGTCAACTCACCTGATTATTATCATCCATAGGTTCCGTCTTTAATTGCAGTCGACCGTGCAGTCGTTGTAAACGCTGTAAAAGCGAAAACCGTCTAAAATCCAGTGATGGAAGAGGAGCTGAAGCAGGCGATGAAGGTGCTAACACAGGGCCAGCTTTGTATTCAAACACTACTGTATCAGAAACCACTCTCCCTGCACGAGCTACTTGCATTGCCGCTAAGCCGGCTTCATGAGCTGAAATTTTTGAAAAATGAACATTAATAGAAGGAATAGGATGCTGGAAATATTGAGATATTAATAAAATTAAGGGTAAAATTAATATTGTATTTTTGTGGAAGAAAAAGATTATTTCTTTGTTATATATATATTTATATTCTATATATATATTCTCATCGAAAAATATCAATCTTATTACTAACCGGGGCAGTAACATCTTAGTAGACCATTCTGCACCAATATTGAAGGTACAGGAAAGTTGTCAAAAAGTATCGTATATTGATCGGACGTATCAGTCCAAGGTCCAGCAACTAGTACTTTAACGCCACCTTCAGGGTATGCCCATTCGGGAGAATAATCCGTAATATTAAGAGCACCTTCACCAGGGCTATCTGTTTGCATTTTGTCACTGTTTTCCTCAGCTGGCGGTGAGTTACCACATAAAGTCTGTAAAAAAATCTTCCCAGATATTATAAGAGAATGTTACCTTTCTATGAATTTAGATAAATATATTAAGTGAACATTAGATATAAAAGATAAATGAAGACTTTAGTATACTTAAATATAATATGTATGTACATATAATATTGTAATACATTTTTAAAAGTTTCAGTATATATGTCAACTCACCACAGGATTTGTTGATAAAGTGCTGGGATCGAGAACTTCGAGCTCAGGAAAATCACCGAGCATATCAAAAGCATCTAGATTTACAAATACATTGTCGTCAACTACATGAGTAGGCGAGGCAACTGCTTCACAACTCTCTATAAAATCCATGGTATCTATTCCTGAAACCATCACATTAGCAGTCTCTGATGATCTCACAACACTTCTATCTAATTCGCAAGTTGGCATATTCGCTGATAAAGTTTTTTGTATATCTTCATGAGACAATTCCAATGTCTCATCGAAAAATCCACTAGAACTTTCTAAATGGGCATCCGTACCTAACAAAACTAACGTATCATCACAGTTTTCTGTATGCACTTTACTTTCTAAGCGCTCTACCAAATCAGGGTACCGAGACGGTGTTGCCGGCGCACTCGCTATAACATGATTTCGACTCCTTGGCTCCATTTTTATTTTCCTATCAAAAGCTTCTACTTCTACCTTTTCTTCAACACGGCTTTCGACTTCGAAAGTTGCCTCTGTATTCAAGCATGTATTTTGCTGACTATCGGGTATTTCTCTCTTCAAAACAAACGTTGGCTTGTATTGTTGACGATATCTATCCCTTGGCTCTTCACATACGAATGAAGTAACAGATAGTGGCGAAACTAGGGAAGAATGTTGTTGCGCGCTGTTGCTTGTACCGTTTAATATGAGTAGACCTCCGCCTCCTTGTATCTGGCCAAGAGACAGCAATAGCGGTGAAGATTGTGTTGAAGGTCTATGGTCACGAGTGTACTGTCTGGGTGGTTGAGCCATTGGTCTCGGTGATGGGCCAGTTGTGGACGATACGTGGTGATCCGATGGTGGTGGCTTAGCTGTTTGAATACGGCGTAATGGATGCGCACAAGTTCTAGAGTCCTGGCAAGTGGAATCAGGACAGCCACACTCGAGTTGCCGAGCTAAGGCAGCCGCTCGTGCTGCACGTTGTTTCTCCATAAGCTGTCCCACAATCGCCTCAACCGTCTCGGCCGTCTGGAACATTTTTCCCTTAATTTGAATTGCATGAATATTCATTTTAATAATTATCATAAGTCATAATTTTTAGAATAAACACTTACCGATATCTCCAAGTCGCTGTTAAGATCTGGCTCATCTTCACTGAAAACTGAATAAAGACATTCCATTAAATATTTAAGTGCTATAAATAAAACAGCTGACTCCGGAATGAGGACAAAATTAATTTTGAACACTTTTAGCGTCGATAAAATAATTAACATTAAAGTGAAGGGAATTCATAGCCGTAATGATCTACATCAATTAGGATCAGTATTAATAGAGAGTAATTATTTTATCGCCCTCCCTCTTCATAAATATTCAATGAAAGGGCGAACTTTGCTTGTTGCGTTTTAATTTTCAGTACTTAACATTTATGAACGGCACCAGACAACTATTTGATTAAACTTGCGCCGTGGCAAGACTAGTTAAATTTGTTGGGAAAATTTTCTATGGACATCCATTTAAACTTTTACACTAATATTATAAATGCAAAAATTTCTATGTCTGTGTGTACGTTTTTTACGCCTTCACGCTCTAACTGTAGGATGAATTTCAATGAAATTAACACAAAGACTTACTATGATCTGGAGTAACACACGCTACTGTTAGTACTGCAATTAGCCTAAAGGTGGCATTGTCTGTAGCTAATATTATAAATACAAAAGTACCTAGTACCAAAGGACGTCAGTTGTTTAAATATTATAATAACTAAGCTCTTTATATTCTTCTCGTGCAACTTAACTCTAAAATTGTTACGAAACCAACTCAAAACTTAAGAAAATAATCTTTACTGGGAATTTTAAATTGTGTATCATATTAAGATATAAGTTGCTATAGTAATCATATTATCTAATAAGGAATTCAGTGAGACTAAAGTCAACAAACTCACGTGATGAATAATGAAAGCCCATTTATATTTATTCTCTTGTTAGTAACCGTGAAGCTTCTGAATTAATTATGAAGCTATCAATATTTTATTCTCGCTAAACTGTGTATATTGCTTAATATCGGATTACTTTAACAATTTTATAATACAACAATACAGTTTAGTTCGATTCTCTGTCGGTGAAAATAATTATTATAATGATTTAATTTTGTATATAATATGTAAACATATATATATATTTTTTTTTTTTTTGAAGCCCTAACTACAGGCAAGTAGTGACGTGTAACCATCGATCAAAAAAGTACTAGATACTCAATCCCATGCAAAAGTTCTCTTAAAACTGTCACCAATTGTGTTTAGGTAATTGTTCTAGTTGAAATAAATATACAACAATGTAAATTAAACCTTGAATGCAATGCTTAAAGTTGTTTTCACATTTTATTTTAATTAAAAGCGCGTTCAAATATTTAAATGAGCGCTCATTTGGTGAGGACAGTTTTTGTCGCTGATTGTGTATCTGTTACTTTTTTGATTGATGAGTGTAAGGGAAGCGTAATACTATTTATAATTTATTTTGACGCTTACACATTGGCTTCAGTTGACTGACGAGTTCATCCTTCGTCCACTCTTTTTTGTCAGCCCACAATGCGAGACTCGGAGCCACGGTCGCTAACTTGTTGTCGTCCGGATATGGCACGTTCAAGTAGTGGACTAGTACTATGTCGGGGTTCTGAAAATCAAATATAATTAAATGTTAATGTTTCTGAGACTTAAAGATTAAAAGTTAACGAGCAAGTGAGCGTGTATATGTGTGCTTATTACTTCTTCACAGTGTAGTGACAACTATTTTTAATGAAGCTTTATTATCCTTCCTATCTTCGTAATGTATGTATTATTAACATATGTATATAAATCAAATATTTCCGACTAAGAAAGAAAGGGAGGGAGGAAGTGTAAAATATTCATATTATTTTGTAAAATATGTACGTACTACACATTAAATGCTAAAAAATAAAAAGATTCACCCCAAAGTGTAATAAAGCGCCACACGTAATAAATTGTTCGGTAAATGGCAGAAATATTAGCAATTCTCGTTTTAAAATAACATCATAATCACTACACTGAACAGTAATAAAATAAATCACGCCAGATTAAAAATTAAAGAAAAATAAAATACAAATTTTGAATAAAACTTGTGTGAAAAACAAAAACATAACGGCGCAATGCTTAGTGATGTGAAAAGATTTAGTGCAAGCATATATTCATTAAATGGAACAGAAACATCGAGATCATAAAACGATGGTTGAAAATGAGAAAACAAGGAATCCTGAGGAGTATAAAGTATGTCCATAACAACCCCTAAATCGACTCTCACGCAGTTAAACGTAAAAATAAATAATACACAATATTTTAATTTTCAACGCGAGGAGCGAATGTAAAACGGAGCGCCATAATAACTATCCATTTGTCTTCAAAATGGCGGCAATAAACATGGCGGAATTATTTATGTAATGGCCGCTGGACAGGGCTGCCACTCGCCACGTGTGCTTTATTGTAGATGTGGTTTTTCATTAAGTGCCTGCTAAAATGATAATTTGTTTAAAATAATAATGCTATCTTCATTATCTAATATGAGAGTCTGGAAACCTCATACCGTAGCACTGGTCAGAATATGAAATTTCACGTGCAATATTATGTTTTATAATGATATAAGACGGTTTAATTAAATTTTAATACTTAATATTGTGTAATAGCTCTAGTCTAATAATACTTTCTTAGATTTACGCGAATATTTGGCATTTTATTTTGATTTTTGGTTCCCGACGTTTCGTATTTCGTTTTCGCTTTACAGCAATCATGGTCACGGGAGAGGCTAAGGTTATAGACGTCTCAAACACATATACTTGTTACAGACAGTGCCTACCCACTATTTTACAAAAATAATTTTAAAAATTCTAAAATGTCACTTAAGTACCTTACAATATATATTGATTTTTATTTCTACAATTTTTTTTTAATAAGTATTATAATTAAATAAAGCAATATTATTTATTTAAGTTTAGCTGTTATTGTTATAAATATTACAATTTAAAAAAAACTTTATTAATTACTTAGTGTTGCTATTATTATATTATGTAAAAAATCAAAATAAATCCGCGAAATAATCCGAAAAGTTAGTTTTATTTAAAAAAACTCTAGTCTAAGTTTGTATTTTCAATATTTTAACCAAAATTAAGTTATAATGTATTGGAAGATTAATACAAAAATTACTAAAAACAATATATCACATTGTAGTTTTATTATGAAAAGATGATTATATATTATTATATTGAAAATATTTAGAAATTTATAGTTTATTCCCATGTATCAGTTCTGGTGGTGTGTCAATAAATATTAGCCCAGGTTATAAGTTGTGTTTTCCAAACACTCATAAGCATTTAACACATATTCATAACTAATAAATTCGAAAATAATTTAATTTAAAACCTCCTCAATTTTCAAATTTAAACACAAGATTATAACATCAACTTTAAAACAAAGAAAATCACTCAAAATAGAACGAAAGCTCATAAAAAGACAAGCACTAAAGACGGTGTTCATTCATTCACTTAAAAAAAATTGACAATACTTTTTAGAACTTTAAATTCAATCATAACACTAATCCATACATATAATAAAATTGTAACTAAGTCGAATCTGTACATTAAATATTTTTTGGAAAATCTTATTGAAATCGACATTATTATTGATATAGAGTCCGAATCTATAGTTTTTTATAATTTTTGTCTATCTATCTGTCTGTCTGTCTGTTACCGCATCACGGGAAAACCACTGGATAGATTTTGATGAAATTTGGTATGATGATAGCTGGTTATCCGTGTCAAATATAGAATACTTTTTACCGCGAGAAAATATCTCATTTCTGAGAAAAAATTCTAAAACTGAATTGTTAGAGTATACTAATGTGTAAAACCTAAGAATTTGATTTTTGGTCATCTGAACGCGGGCGGAGCCGCGGGCAATGCTAGTACTTCTATAAAAACACATTGAACGGTAATTACTATTTGTATAGGCTGACCTGGTTTTATTTTAGGCTGATTTCCCTCTGGAGCGCATAATATATTTCTATATAGTGGGCACTCGTTTCAAATAAATATTGCACTGTGTTTATTGTTACTGTTTTTAACTAGAAAAATTTGCATTTAAGTGTAGTTTCGGTTTCATTTTTAACGCTCTCCATAGCCTGTTTATTTAGTCCGTAAAAATTTAATTTGTTTTCCTACATACGTTTTAACTTATGTTTATTTTTATTTACAGCTAAAATACTGTAATTTCTCACTAAATCTGTTTAAATAGGGTTAAAAATTGCCTCTAGTCTACTACTTGGTACTACATTTTTAGTACTACCTACTAATTGGTACTATATTTTTATATGTAACACATGTAATTTTATAGCATTTTTATAAACTACCGAGCATTTTTAATACAACTAACACCTAAGTTACTAAACACTTTTTACAATATTTTTACAATTCCTTAATATTTGTATGTAAAGAATATACTTTAGATGGCGTAAAACTGTCATTATTATACTCATATAAAGATTTGTAAGTTTTATAATGAAATACTAGCGATTTATTCTCGCTTCGCTCGTCTCTACGTACGTTTTAAGGGTTAGTATGGACTATTTAGACTATATATTATATGATATATAGCCTTTCTCAATAAACGTGATATCTAATGCAAAACCAATTTTGCTAATCGGATAAGTAGTTCCCGAGATTAGCGCGTTCAAACAAACAAACTCTGTCTCTTTATAATATTAATATAGATAATAAAGATATTCATCCGTCACCTTGAAATTCAGTATCAACATATATTTTTAGGTATAGTTGAAAGCTATTCCGGCAAAGTTCGTAGCAAAAAGCTACAACTATTAGATTTTGTATTAGCCACAGCCAACCCTCAATCTTTACAGTTTTTATTGTCAAAGTCTAGGCAGTCGTTGAGTTAGATCGGGGGATAGTTTGTTAGATTTATGATTAAAAGCAAACAGTTGCTTTATATCTTTAGCTTCAGCCCACAAAATTCCGTCTGTTCTTCGCAGGCGATATTTGATAATATCGGCCCGTATAATACTGTATGGGAATATTTACATTCCAAAATATATTTACATGTTTACTATATAATATTTGCTATGATCCAAATAAATAATCTTTTTATCGTCGTATAGACGAAATTTTGCTTCACTTAGAGTTAAAAAGTTTATTTTTTCTAAGCATAAACTTAAATATGCTTACTATAGAAATATTGTACTTAAAAACGCTTTTATATGGTTATAATTACTAGCCACAAACGAATATCGAATCCAGATCGTTCAAATTGCGAAAGGTCCAATAACGTGCACCAGATTTTTCCATTCATTGACAGAAATATCACAATTTATGTATTGAATTCAGACTTTTCATACATACCACTGCTGGGCACTACCACGAGAACGAGTTAGCGGACTTCACATGTTTTTTGAAAACTTCCTACGTTGTCTTAGACATGCAGGTGTCCTCACGATGTTTTCCTTCACCGTAAGACAAGTCGTATCATGTTGGTGAGAATTCGCATGACACATGACATATGACAATATCCGGAGGCGCGTGACCCGGGATTTGAACCCGCTTCACCGGTTTCCCAAGCGAGCGCGTTACCACTGCCTTTTACCATATACGAACTTTAGAGAAGCATAGTAAAGGTATGTCACCAAATATTTTGCAACGGGCAGTGTAACTCGCTTATATCAGGATTTAATTCTAATATGGGTTAGTTTCAAATAAGCCTACAATACTCTGTATACAATAAATTCTCTTTTACAACTGCACTGCATGCTCTACGCACAGAGTTAATATTCAAATATAACAATGAAATACCAAAATATAACGTGAACATACAAAACTGGATTTCATTGTAATATTTTAAATACTAAAGAACTGTAGAAGTAGAAATTGGAATAGTATAAACATAGAATATACAAATAAAATAATATTATTGATATTATGATAACGGACAGCTAGTTTCTTTAATTCAATTCAATTTTCTTGTTTTTTTTTTCTTTATTGGCTTATAGTTGCATTAATAGACGTAATCCATTCTGCCAGTGTCACGTTTTGTGAGGAAGACACGAATGAGATTGAGCGGTAATTTTGAAATTTGGTAACTATATTGTGGAATTATAACTATAAATTAATAAGCGGTCTACAAGAGTATCCTACAACAATAGTAAAATAATTACGTAATACAAAAATGACACATTAATTGAGAATGAAAATATTTACATAATGAGTATTATAATTTAATTTTATTATCTACTATAAATTTAACTAGTTTTTTAATAAATGGGCTAAATACAAGGGCCAATAACCATTTGGTGTTAACTGGGCGGTGAATTTGAGAAGGGATTATATTATCATATAGGGAATATTTCAATTTGGAACAATTAAACAGAATATGATCAAATTCTCTTGTTAATGGCTTCGAAGCGTGCCAGTTGAGCACAGATTACTTCACAATGTCACGTAGAACACCTAAGTTTTAAAGGTTATAGATTAAATATGGTCATTTGACAGATTTCTATTTTACGTCTCTTTATCTACCTACTATTCTTTCTTCTATTCTAACCTACTATTGTAAAGAGGAAAGATTTTTATTTTTGTATGTTTGTAACGAATAAACTCAAAAACTACTGGACCGATTTAGATAAAATTTGGTAAGCTCCTGGGAAGAACATAGGCAATTTTTTTATTCCGGAAATCATCCCTTAAGGGGGTGGTAATGGGGATAAAAGTTTGTATGGAGATCAACTTAGGGACGAATCAGAGCAAAGCGAGGGTGAGTAGCTATTAGAGAATATTTAGCAATTTCTTTTTAACTACTGTACTAATACTATATTGTTATAAAGAAAAATAAAACTTTAGACTGTTCTTTTAAATATTTAGTAATAGTAAAAGTTATTAGATCTGTGCTTAGAACAACACTTTTTAATGAGAATAATTTTGCGTATCTATATAGAAATATTCTACTATATCTAAGTAGGTATACGTAATATGTGAAGCAGTCACGCGAATTAAAACATTATTAAATCTGTATAATTGATCGACTTCAAAAGGGCGGTGTTCGACTCGTTTTTGGCTGTTCGATAACACACGATTTCTTTGCCAGTTGAGAACAATTAACTACTGAACTTTTAACTAAAATAATGCTTATTATTTTAATAAATTGCTAAAATTTTGTTTTTTACTAATGTTATTGTTTGTTGTTTATTTATTTTAGGTCGCTTTTAACATCTAAGGTCATGTTTGGCTAAATTTGTACTTGTTGTGCCAGCGGTCGCAGGTTCGAGTCCCGCTGGGGGCATTCGTTTATGTGATGTGGACGAATTTTTGTACTTCAGTCTTGGGTGTTTATATTTATAATATGTATGTATTTAAAGTTATATATGTGTTGTGTATCAACTATCTGGTATCCATAACACAAGCCTGTTAATGTCCCATCAAAAAAAAATGTTGGTACATATTTATCATATTCAAAAATTTTAGATTTCTCATACATCCATCTTAATTTTAACAATCTTTTAAGTTATTAGATACATTACTACTCAATACTCAAAACTCATTGAGACAAACTAGTTATTTTTATATTCCATTCTATAGAGACAGTAAGTTAAATATATATCACTATATATGTATTGACACCTGTTACACGGTACACTCGGGGGCAACGGTGCAATCAGAAATTCAATTACGCTTCGATATTTTGGCGTGAAATCTAACCAGCTATGGCATTTTCAAATGTCATTTATAATAGCGGTCAAAGTTAGATTTTTCAAACAGCCTAAACTATGGGAAAAGTTCACATATTTAACCGATTTGTAATGGAGTAGGTTATGTTTGTAGGTAATCATTTGAAATGTTAAAGTTTATTTAATTAGACTTAAACAAGCACTTTTAATCGTTCCTTGCTGCGTCAGCAGTTGCGGGTTCGAATCCCGCTGGTGGCATTCATTTGTGTGATGATCACAAATGTTTGTACTCCAGTCATGGATGTTTATATTTATATTTATAAAAATATATATGTATTAAAAGTTATATTCGTGTATCAACTATCTGGTATCCATAACACAAGCCTCGTAGCTTACCATGGAACTAGATGGTGATGTGTGTTAATGTCCCAACAACTTAAACCACCAATAGTGACATTTCACTAGTTACAGCTTCCCCAGAAAAAACTTATACATATTAAAGTATTTGTGTGTTATTTCAAAATTTTTGTACTATGGGATATGCTAATTTTCAAAATGGCTGAATTCATTGTGATGGGACTTTTAGTATTGTAGTGTAGATCATCCCAGAAGTCAAAAGAACCTTCGCGCGAAAGATGATAACAGAAGAACTGATTTTAACATGAATTTCACTTAAATTCTTAATAGCTTCAATGCAACGTTTGTTTCACTAAAGTGACATAGATTTTTTATTATCATTACTAGCATTGCCCGCGGCTCCGCCCGCGTTCAGATGACTAAAAAGCAAATTCTTAGGTTTTACATATTAGTATAGTACTCTTAAAATTCAGATTTTGTATTTTTTCTCAGAAATGAGATATTTTCCCGCGTAAAAAAGTATCCTATATGTTGACCCGGATAACCAGCTATCGTCATACCAAATTTCATCAAAATCTGTCCAGCGATTTTCTCGTGATGCAGTAACAGACAGACAGACAGACAGACAGATAGGCAGACAAAAATTCTAAAAACTATAGATTCGGACTCTATATCAATAATAATGTCTATTTCAATAAGATTTTCCAAAAAATATTTAATGTACAGATTCGACTTGGTTACAATTTTATTATATGTATAGATAATACACAGCAACGTCACGGGCGAAAACAAGTATTTCGTTAAATATATAGTAATATAATACTTGTTGATTGATATAATGATTGATATAATGTTTGACATTATTAAATAAAACTATCTTTTCGGATTATTTCGCGGATTTATTTTTAATGTTTAAAGTTAAAAAATATTGTAATGTAATTGGTGCAATTTTCATTTTGTTAATTGTGGGTAGGCTGTCTGTAACAACTATACCTTTAAGACATGTAACACCTCAGTCTCTCCCGTGACCAAGGATGCTGTAAAGCATTCGAAACGTCGGGAACCAAAAATCAAAATAAATCCGCGAAATAATCCGAAAAGATAGTTTTATTTAATAATATATAGTGATAGAAAAGATTTATTGTTGATATTATAAATATCAGAATGACAGCACTTATTAATTTTAAAACGTGTGAAAGAAAAATTGCTGTACTATTAAGTTTATGAATTTTAGTTTCTTTTGAAGCCATGTTTTTACTTGTCACATGTACTTACACAATATTGAATAGATAATTTGTTATATAAAGGCTAAAATCAGTTTTCAATTATTTTCAATTCATTTCAACCATAAACCTAAATATTGAATATCAACGTGTCATTTCTTCGTAAAGCCAAATATAGTAATACACTTGATGAGTCTATTAGGTTTAATTGTACCAGATTCGGCTTCATAAGTCCACCTTGAACGTTTGATATGTATTTTACCCTCCAGGGTATGTATGAACCGTATAAATATTCACCTAGCGTAAGAATCGAACCGGCGATCCCCTACGTGGCTCTGCTATATATAGTTTTTTGTATGTTTTGGTTACACTCAGATAATTGTAATTAAGGATAATAATGCGTAAAATATGTTGCTCAACATATAACACTATATTTGAAGCTATTTATTATAATATTATTATTTCATTCATCAATTTGAAAACTAAAACTTTGTAAATGGCTTATTGATTATTGAATTGTTGAGATACCGGAAGTGAAATTTAACTTCAAAAACCAAATTAAAATCGTTCATATGTTTGGGCGCTACGATGCCACAGACACACATACACACGTTGAACTTATAACACCCCTCTTTCTGCGTTGGAGGTTAAAAGAAACTTCACAGAAGATTGTAAATTATCCTTGTATGTAACGCGATATCTTCCAAAAATTTTAGGCCGATTTTTATAATTATGGTTTTAATGACTTGGTTATATCTCAAAGGTAAAATAACAGGTACAGTTAATTCTAAAGTCAGTTTTCCCTTAAATTAAAATTTCTTATAATAAACTTGTAGCTTATTGTGCCGATAATAATAAAAAGCCCCTTTATTTCAGGAAACACCTTGAGCTTTTCGCCTCGCATTTCCTATATACAGCAGGTATACTATTTAATATTGGTCTAGTTTTACATAGAATTACAGTAAGAAATTAGAATTAAAATTAATTTTAAAAGATAAGCATCTCAATCTCACCATTCCCTTAGCTAACTAAAAAAAAAGATAAAATGACTTTAAAATCAATTAATAATTATTATTATTTCATATTTATAACACACCTTTGAGCTATAACCTCTTTATCAAAAAAGAATTACAATATATGGTTCACTACTAACAAAGATATTACGTAACATACACACAAACATACAGTCAATTTCTGTTTTCATTTCTCTTAATTTTGAAGTCGGTTAAAAAGTAAGTATATATATATATATATATATTCATTCGAACCGTTGAAATATTAATGTAATTTCCCAATCCAAACTTTCTGAATCATATTATTGACGAATTTGCAGATGTTTTTAACTGGCAAGATATTTGGGTTAGGTTTGATTTACTTTAAAAGAATCCGTTGGATAAATTGAATGTTTGTAAAACTTGTTTGTTCACTTCAGAGTTGCCATTTTAACTTTTGCCATATTGAATTAATGGTTTTTATTGATTTAAATGGTTTTTATCTGCTTACCATATCGTAATTCGTAGGACTGTAATTTATTTAGAACTAGCGTTTTGTCGCGGCAAGCATATTTCAAATATGTATTACTTTAAAAATTATAGCCTATGTATATATATTACTCTGATATATAAGCTATATTATTGTAAAGTTTAATTAAAATCCGTTCTGTAGTTTTTGCTTGGAAGAGTAACAAATATCAATCCAAACATCTTCACAAACTTTGGCCTTTATAGGCGACTCTCCCTCGCTTCGCTTCGGGTGCGTCCCTTGACAACAACAAATCTATCCCACGGGAACCGTACATTTTTCCGGGATAAAAAGTAACATTTGTGCTATTACAGACTCTTGAATCAGAATCTATCTTTGTACTAAATCCGTTCAGCCGTTCTGGCGTGAAAGAGTAACAAACTCACATCCATCCTTACAAATTTTACCTAGTATGGACTAGTGGGAATTAGCTAGGTTTAGGCTTAGGTTTTGCTAATAGTCTCTACTGAATATTTTTAACTGACGAAAATTTTGACGATTATTCTAAAGTGTTTAAGTCACTTAAAAAAACCGCTGAAAATAAATATAATAACATAATATTTAAACGTAATTTAAAGAAAATATTTTTCCTAGCCCTCTTTGCTTATTTAAGGAGAAAATGCATAAAATTAGATCTAATAATGATGAAAGTTATATATGCCTATAGAAGGATAAAGATTACTTTTTATTGCAATCCTAAAATCGACCAAAAAAGTACTATATACACAATCTCATGAAAAATTTCTCTTAAAACTGTCACCAATTGTGTTTAGGTAATTATTCTAGTTGAAATAAACATATAGCAATGTAAATTGAACTTTATAAGCATTACTTAAAGTTGTTTTCACAAAAAAAATACAAGTGCGCTCAAATGGTAAAATGGGCGCTCATTTGGTGAGGACATTCTTTGTCGCTGATTGTGTATCTAATACTTCTTTGATCGATGAATCCTAATAAGTAAAATTCTAATTTACAAAAAATATATCTATCTAGATCTAGGAACACTATAATATAAAAAGGTAGTATTTGCTTAGGCAAGAATAACCAATTGGCAAGGCGATTATCGCGATCGATCGGAAGGTTATGGTGTGAAGTGGAAAAAACCAAATAACGATGGTGATTTTGATTTATGACCAAACGCGGGGAAAGTAGAAAATTAAAGTACAAGTAATTTATCAAAATCCTATAATCTATGGCTATTATTCTATCTATATCTATGTTATCTTTCCATTTTTATTAACCGTTGTAGATACGAGGGATATCGACGACCTGGTGTAGTTTTCCGTTTTGAGGATCATCATCTACAATGGAATTCGCGAGTTCGAATCTCGTTTGGGTCAAATATTTATATATTATGCGTTTGACATCATATTGATGTGAAACAATGTAATTTATTTTCACGTACCTTATATCTATTAAAAAGTTTAGACTATATGTAAAATCACTAACTAACACTTTATAGAAGTTTAGACGCCCTACGTTCAATTTCTACATGGCATTGTTTATTTCCATCATAATTTGTTTAGAACAAATTATCCTGTATGTTTCAATTAATAAGCCAATTTTGATGATTCTTTTTTAATAAATAGGTTATACTTCAAGAGTGGTACGATATAAAGATTTCCAATGTTGAAGTTTGAAGGAAAAGGGTACCGTTTTTAATTTAAAAGTAATTATATTTTTTATCTAGTTATTAAGATACTGAACAAATATTAGATAAAAAAATTAAATATTAAGATATTACAGATATGTAATACATACATACATACATACATACAGACAGACAGACAGACAGACAGACAGACAGAACCAAAAGACTAAATTTGTACATACACCTTTGTATAGCTATTTTATATAATATAGGTATTATTAGATGTAATTACAAATAAAGATAATCGGGTTAGAAATTGAAAATCTATTGATTTTCTATAAAAATAAAAAGGTTTTTTTAACTTACTTGTAGCAGCCAGTAACATCTTCGATGGAAGGTTGGCAAGATGGCGGAATGTACGTAGCACCCGTAGATACACTGTAATAAACATTATAATAAATTAAATTTTTATATAAGTAGACTGGAGACGTTGAAGTTTGATTTATATATATATATTTTTTAAAACTTATGTTAATTTAAAGAATCGCCTAGGGACGAACCCGAACGAAGAAAGGGTGAGTCGCTAGTCTCTTTAATAAAAGCGTGTTAAAAATACTGGTTTTACTAGCATGAAGTATAAATTAATATATAGATATAGCAAATTATTAAATAATACTTTCTTAAATTTACGCGAATACTTGACATTTAAAAAAAAACTATCTTTTCGGATTATTTCGCGGATTTATTTTGATTTTTGGTTCCCGACGTTTCGAATGCTTTACAGCAATCATGGTCACGGGAGAGACTGAGGTGTTAGATGTCTGTGTATATAATACCTTAGAGACATCTAACACCTCAGTCTCTCCCGTGACCATGATTGCTGTAAAGCATTCGAAACGTCGGGTACCAAAAATCAAAATAAATTCGCGAAAAAATCCGAAAAGATAGTTTTAATTCAAATTATTAAAATTTACAATCAGTTACAAAAAACCTATCCTTCATTGGTTTTGCGATGCAATAGTGATCCATTAAATCATCCGAGCACTTTTATCACGTTCCTCAAATGGAAAAATACTGGTTTATTTACATTAATTTTTTTCACTTTGTTACGAATGTTTTGGCTGAATCCGCACAATATTTTATTTCTATGAAACTGAATGCTTTATTTGAGATTCACAAATAAGTGGTCTTTAGTTTTGACGATTTGATTACACTGCTAAATTTTAATATATACTCGTAGGTTTGAATTAAAATGGATATAGTATGTTATCCTTAAGAGATAGATATATGCCATGGCGGACTTTTTTGTAGACCTATATAAGATACACAAATTCAACATACATTATTTTGTTATATCTCAAAGGGTTTAGGCAGCGTTTTCGTTGAAAGCACCCAGACGGATTATTTTTTCCGACACCTCCAACAAATATCGTTATATTTTAGCCAATGTATACAAAAACTTAACAAATTATATACTAAAATCTTCCTTTTGAATCACTTTATCTATTGAAAAAATCGCATCGAAATCTAAGCATACATAGGAACAGACAGACAGCGAGAAGCGACTTTGTTTTATACTATGTACTATGTAGTGATTACTAATGATCTGCACTCGCTTTTTTCAAACACATGCAAATATTTTAATAAAACTGTCTTTTTAGATATTTTCAAGGATAGATATATCTCCCTTAATCATTTTTGCTGTATTCAAATCGTCGGAAACAAAAAATCTCAATAAAGCTGCGAAGTTTCTAGTTTTTTTTATATGTTTTTAGCCTGAATTATAATGTTTTTTTGTAAAGGTGACTTTTGCTTCTATTATTTTAGCGGTAGACTAGGGTGATTCTCATGGGATATTAGACAGTCACTAGAAGCTACTTAGGAATGTAATACTTTCTTTTTTGGAGATTTACGCAAATATTTGACATCTTAAAATAAAACTATCTTTTCGGATTTTATCACGGTTTTATTTTAAAATATATATCAGCAAGTTCGTCAAATATCTGAAAATAAAATTTAAATTCAGAATTAAAATGAATTCGACTACGATTTTTGATTCGTTAACTAACTTTTGAACTAAAAGTCGGAGCTATCAGTCTTTATTTGCTAAAGGCTTGCCAGTAGGCGCTCAGAGGCCACTAAAATATATTATTCAAGCACGAGACCACCACGTATTAGAACTGCACGTGGTAACTTTGACCACAAACATTATACTTTTAAATTTTTATTCTGAACACATAGCGGGCAAAGGATGATTGTGATGAAAAATTTAAAAAAAAATTTCACAGAAATTTCTATTTGAATATCAAGTATTTTTAATATATATATTATATATTGTGAATTCAAAGCGTATTTCAGAGTTTTCCAGATTTTTAGATATTTTACGGTATAAGTGGCATGCGTGAAATCTAACTAACGTGTCCTCTATGCCAAAGGTGGCAGGTTCAATGTCTGAGATATGAATCTTTAAATGGAGTGTACATAATACATAATGTCGCTCTCCTAAATGAGTATATATAACGTACCTACTGACACTAGGCAATGCTTATGAAATAAAATATAATTACTATATAATCCCATTAATATATAATTAATATATAAATTTCTTAGGTAGGCTCTTCTCAAACTATTAAAAAGATATTAAATTTATTTATTTATATATCATGATAGGTAATTTTTAATAGAAATACATTATTCTTAAATACAATAGCTTTCAATGCCCTGAGGCTTATATACGCGGAGCCAAAGGCGAATACTATATAATATATTATCTATACGGATTTAGATAAGGCACTCTACAAACACTAACTATAATAGAAAATTAAAACGTAAAAGTAAAACTGTCTGTTTGTTGCCTTTTCTTAAATAGCTTAACAGATTTGGATAAAATTTCGCAAACATATATGTAGATAGATTGCATCTTGACGAATTTTATCCCCGCCGCAGTTACCTGCGATCAGAGCTTCGAGTAAAAGACCACTTTATAATATTAAGCATCATCAGAATTGAAATTGCGTGAAAGTACTTATGTTAAACAACGTTCATTTAAATATTATAAAACAAGTTGCCACTTATCAGTGATAATATTCAACAGCGCTCTTGTTATGTATTTCATACAAGTCCGATGTAATTGAACATGGTGTTTACATCTATACTAATATTATAAAGAGGTAAAGTTTGTGAATTGTGAGTTTGTGACGTTGTATGGGGTAATCTCTGGAGCTACTAAACCGATTTAGATGAAATTTGGTAAGAAGATAGTTTGAGACTCTGGGAAGGACATAGGATAGTTTTTATCCCAGAAATCATCCCTTGATAGGGTGAAAATGGGGATTAAAGTTTGTATGGGGAAGCAACCCAGGAACAAACCCGAGCGAAGCGAGTATAAATCGCTAGTTTTATAAAAAAAAACTTTAATTTAAACCCATACATTTTCAGCGATCAAATCCAAACCTTATACGAATCTAACAATTAACACTACCACTGTACTATACAAAAATAATTTACAAACGATTAAACTGACATAGTTGTAGATAATATATAGATATATATATTCTATTTCAACCAGTGCTAGTATATCGCATCAATCTAATAAAACAGCGCACCCACACCGCTCATTTGGGGTCCAGTCCAATCGAACAGATAACGTATAAACCTGGCAAATGGATGGTTCTAAATCGCTTGAACTGCCCAATCGTATTTTGTGGCACTATTCAGCTCAATAACATGCTTTCGGTTGTATTTTTCGTCACGAATTCTCCTCTGATGTTTCATAGATTAGGTATAAATTGGCAAAGTCCAAACAGTTCAGGACCTTCTTCTCCTGTGTTTCTCAACCGATTTTCTTTTTTTTTTAGTTAAGTAGCTATTGACGAGCTTTCGTGTTATTAATAAAAACAATTGGTAACAGTCGTTTTATATAGATAGACTAGCATTATCCGCGGCTCTTTTACATATTAGTATACTCTTACAATGCAGTTTTTGTATTTTGTCTCAGAAATGAAATATTTTCCCGCGGTTAAAAGTATCCTATATTATGTTGATCCGGATAACGCACTATCACCAAAATTTCATCAAAATCCCTTCAGTGGTTTTTCTGTGATGCGGTAACAGACAGACAAACAAAAATTCTTAAAACTATTGATTCGGCCTCTGTATTGATAATAATGTCTATTTCAACAAGATTTTCCAAAAAATGTTTAATGTACAGATTCGGCTCAGTTAGAATTTTATTATATGTATACATAGATAGATGTAGTTATAATTATTTATTATTTACATTAGGTTAATGCTTCTATATATGGATCGTTCATTTTTACTTGCCTTGCGTCGGCTGGCACCGACTAAAAATATCTATAGGACATGAAAAACTTCGTCCAGTTATTTCTTAACGTTCAGTGTCATGAAGACCTGTTAACTCAGTATGCGAATTGATCATTATATATTCTCTTTTTTTTAAAGATCTGTTTTAATATTATATATTGTGTGAAAGTTTGTGAATATGGATGTATGGATGTTTGTTACTCTTACACGCCTGAACGGATCTAGACGAAATTTGGCAAAGAGGTAGATTATAGTCTGGAATACAAATAAACACATGGCCCACTTTTTATCCCGGAAAAATGTAAGGATCCCGTGGGACAGATTTATTTTGTTTTCCTAGAGGAGAACCCGAGCGAAGCAAGGGTGAGCCGCTAGGGGTTAATAAAACTAAAAAGTTCGTTATTTAGAGATCAAATGATACTTTTTTTGGATTAATGATTGCTGTCTCATCACTTAAATATAAAAAAATACGTGTCGAATTGAGAAACTCCTCCCTTTTTTTCGTCGGTTCAAAATTAAATTGAAGTAAAAATGCACGTTAACAGGTATATTTAATATTTACATAAAATCTTAATAAATTACATTTCACCGAGTGTCTGCAGTTTAAAAATTTAGACTTTAATTTTAAGCCATCCAGTAATTATTCTGTATAATGTCATCAAGTTGGCTTGCGCCGGTTACAGAAAGCAACGTACGACAATATAGTATTTTTTTATATATAAGGTTGACAATAGAAAAGAAATTAAAAATGTAAAAAACCCCCTACGCAAATTAATTGTCATTTAACGATTACACTGGCACGTGTGAAGCACTTGATCGAGTAATCATATGCCAAAATGCCTTACATCATTTTGGAAAATAGCTTATACTCTTACACTGCTGGACCAAACATAGCTAAGAACCACCGCAAGGAAACTGGCTTTCAAATGAAAAAAACCGCATAGAAAACGATTCATCCGTTTGAGAGCTACGATGCCACAGACAGACACACACACACGCACACACACACACACACACACACACACACACACACACACACACACACACACACACACACACACACACAGACATCGACGTCAAACTTATAACACCCTCTTTTTGCGTCGGGGATAAAA